CAGGCCTCTGAGCTGAGCCTGGCCAAAGAACCCACACGTGCGGCAAAACCAGATTTTAAGGTCTTTATGATAGGTCAAGGCGTGTGAGGGATGCGTCCAACCACCGGCCAAGTGTAAACGCCGCCCCCTAGGAACACGACAAAGCTCGATGCTGTCATGCTGGAGTTGGAAGCATTCACTTTTTAGCCATTCGGACACCACAGCCTTAGTCGCAGAGCCTTTACACACGCTACACGCCCTCCCGTTTTCGGTCAGGGTATGTGCGGACGCGAAGCGTGCAAGAGCTAAAGGAGGGGGAGGGGGAGGAGGGGGAGGGACTCTACCAACGCCTCGCCCTCTCTGGACATCAGAGAGCTGAGACGCTCGAATGGAGTCTAAGCCGACACGCAGCAACCTCCTCCGAACCAGTCGGGCCCGATGCTCGACCTCATGAATCTTGCGACGTTCCTCAGAAGAAACTCGCGCGAGTGTCGCTGCCACTCCCGCGATCTCATCAACACATGAGTTGCCTAGCACTAACCACGAGGGGAGACCACGGGCCAGCACTTCAGCACATGTCAATTGAGACGGGATCTGAACGACAACTATCACGCTGGAGCTCTACCTTGTGATATCAGTAGCTTACCGATGTCACGCCATATGTCCGACTGGGGGCCTTGAGGCCTGCGGAACAACTCGCTGTACCACCCTCCAGCAATTTCGTCACAATCCGTAACATACAGTAGTTCGCCTACGCTGAAACGCAAGGCCCATTCAAACGCCCTAAGTTCACCTCGAGGAACAGTCTGTGCCGTTCCTGTGAGGGGTCCCATGAGGAAAGGCCCCAACTCCAAAGGATCATACCTAGTGAAAGTGGCAAGTCCTATGCCAACCCGCCTGAGTCTAGAGTCGAGGGTGTCTCGACCCCCAGAGGCGTCTCCAAAAATAACCAGGGGCTCCAGAGCAGTCCCAGTCCCAAGACAGCCAGCCCCGAGACCATTGTTCCCGAGACGACCGCCACCGATAACCTCAACAGACGGAGGGGAGTGAATGGAGGTCGAAGCGGAAGGGATGAGCCCCCGCATCCAGAAACAGGGAAAAACCTCGGATTCACTCACAGCACGCGGGAGTAAATCGTTAGATTCTTCGAATGCACGAGACCCTTGGTTTTTGGAACATGCCCAGCATCTATGCAACGGTGTGTCCTGCTCCGTGCCGCATCGATCGCACCGATCGTCAGCACGTAGCCCAGCTTCATGACTCCGAGCTTTGGGCCACCACCCTCCTGTGGCCACGGTCACCAGTAACTCGGACAGCTGCCTGCCCTTCTTCGCGTGCAGCAAGTCTGCCACCGTTGCTCTCAGGGAGGTCATTTCAGCCCCTCCTTCGAGCCCAGCCCCACAGAACAAAGAAGATGCGTCCTTCCACTGCTTCAGCTCGTATGTCCGCTCCAACTCCGCCAATAACGGGGCTGCCTGGTCCAGCGCCTCGAAGTCACTTCTGTCGAACTGCCAAGCTTGAACTTCTGCAGCGCCGTCGCTCGGCACGTCCCAGTCGGTGGGGGTGTTGGGCGGCCAGCCCGCATCGAGCAAGTAGAGGGTCACCGTGGTCATTGGGCCTCGCACGTGCCGCACGCGCTGGCCCTGAGGAAGGGGACGTAGGTGTGCCACTGCTTTCGGCCATGCCCGTTCGATGGATCGCCGCAACCCGACCTCAGCCAGCCACGCCGCCAACCATTGAGATATGCATTGTTTGGGTAGAAGGTGGCCTGGGTCGCACCCAGGCAATCTAAGAGAGAGTAATGCGGCCAAACACCGCCCTCGCTTCGACGATCCCGCCGCCGCGCCGAGCCTGCGCCGCTGAGCCAGCATCGTCGATCCGACTTGTCCGTGGACGTGGTGTCCGTAGACTGCAGCTGCTTGTGGTCCAGCCCGTTGAAGTCTGGCCGATGCCTGCCACCGACGAGCGGCCTGTGCGAAACGTCGAAGTCGAGCGTGTGACTGGCCTGACTTCAGATACCGTTGACGAACGGTGGCTCGACCTTGGCGCCTCCCACTGCTGAGGTCGACGCCGAGGTATACCGTCTGGAGGGCCGCGCGCAGGTGGATGCCCTTGCGCCTCAGCCCCCTCGCAACAGCAATCGCGTCGGCATGATGCGAATAAGTGATGGCGCTCTTGTCCGCCAAGCCGAGGTCTGGATGCCGCCCTTGATCAAGGTCGCCCTGCTATGAGCCCGTGACCCTGAACTTCTTTGCGATAAATTATCCATCCATATGCGCTCACGCAGCGTGCCGAAAGAATTGCAAAGCCGACTGCGTATATTTGCTGTGATGCATTTGGCAAGCCGCGTGCCGTTCCTCAAACCCTGGACCACCGACCGCGTCACTTCGAACGGCTCTGAGAAACAACTGAGTTGCTTCAACATACGAGGTGCCAGACACAGTTGAAGTTCCAGAAACAATACAACTGGTGGGAAGCCTTTTTCCAGAGCGCATTCAGCGAGGGGTTGAAACTCCATGTAATCATAGAAAGAGGCGATGTCCCATAGCGTATGTCCGCTCGGGATCTGCAAACGAGTGTGGACCTCGTCCTCCAGCGCTCGCGCGAATGCTTCGGGCAGGGCGCTGTTGCCAGCGACGGCGGCATCCCAGTGGTCCACTTCAGCCTGCTCGGCGGACCACTCCTTCATCTCCACCTCGCGCGCCATGGACCAGACTCTGGCCAGCATCGCGATCAATCCTATGACTCGATCGCCTCCTGATTTCCCCCCAGAAGTTTTCCAATGATACAGAGACTCTGCCATGGCCATGACAACCCTTGCTCTATGCGTAGAAACCGATCGCACAAGGCCTGGATGCCTTCATCGAACAATCGTTGAAAGTCGACTGGCGTCAGCCTGTCTATGCCGAGGCCGGCCCTCGGCTTCGTTCGAGATATAAAGCTGCTCGTGCATCGTTGACTGTTAGCGGGGGAAGCTGCTCGATCACAGCCTGCTCTTTGACCGCAGCACACGTGCGCACAAAAGACTCACGAGTGGCCACTGATAACTTCCACTTGGAATGATACGCCTTCACTTTGTGATCCACGATATCCATGGGATGTACCAAGACACCACCATATGAAGTATTGTGGTGTAGTTCGTCTCTCTCGGGGTCGGGATCTTTGATGCTCTTGTGGACCACGCCCTGCGTGTCCAAAGAAGAAAACCACTGTTGAAACTCACGCAGCGAAGCAGACGCCGCTCTGTTATGCGCCCTCTTGGGCTCCCGAAGCGCTTGCTCCTCCAGCTGGGCCAGAACCTCGATGTCGGGGTCAACCATCCTGCGAAGATGACCCAGAAACTGTTCCCAGCTGCCAGCCCCTGCGGGATAAGCCACTCCTGCACCGCCCAATGGTTGTGATCTGCCAGACGAACACCTGCTGCCGCCAGCTGCGACATTTGAAGAGCTCCATTCTGTCGTCGCCTATGCCTGAGGGCCCTCTGCGCGACGTCGTGGACTCGCGCCCGCCAGGGCGAGATGCCATCCTTCAAGGGCTGCTGCCGTATGTGCTCGGCCTGCTTGACAACTGTGACCTTGAGGCTGCATCCAGCGCTACGTGATCGCGCGCGCCCGCCGAGGTCGTGATGCCCCAAGATCGCTTGCTCAGCCGTCTCAACCCAGCGGGCGAAGGCATTGCTAACGTGGAGGATGTGTGGGCCTCCGATCTCGAAAGCCACTGACTGGAGTATGGGGCTCCAAACGTCGTGAGTAGAGTGTGAGTGCCAAGGCGTTTGGTCCAACGCGGCTGCCCACGACGAGGGGGGAATGGAAAAGGAAGGGAGAGAAGCGGGAGAGGCAGCAGCATCGGCAGGGGCGAGACTACTGGTATCCCCTTCCAGGGGGTCGATGTTCCCGGGGCGTTCGGCTCTGGTGGTGGACTGACTTGTGCCCTCGACATCGCCTGACCCCACCCCTCCAGGGAGACCCGAAGCCCCCGCCAGCGCGGCTCCGACGGGAACGAAAGAGGATTCGTCGGCCAAGGGTCTTCCTCCTCGGGGCCAAACTCAGAAATATCATAATCGGGGCAGACAAGATCCACGCCCGCATCCCCAACGACCTCGGGCGAAACCGTGGGAATGGGGTCGATAGCTCCAGGCTCCTGACCCTGGCGCGGCTCGCTATACAAGGCCTTGCCGTACAAATGCGCCCCCGCTTTTTTCTACCAAACTCAGGTGCTCGAGCCGTTTGACACTGGACTTAGAGCCTGCCACTGCCGTAGCGACTGGCCGAGTGACCTGGGGCAAACGAGCCGCACCTTCTAGAGTGTGAGAGATGAGCTGTTCACAATTGCCTCGCAACTTCACTTCCAGAT